TGACCTGGATGACTGAGAATCTTCACCAGCATATTGACGAAAAATACGTTTTTTGTTTTAATCTTAAATGCAAGATGTTTATATATATATATATTTTTTTTTATATATTCAAATTTAATATAGTTACTAGGGCTGGGTAAAAGAATCGATTTAATCGATTTTCGGATCGATTCCTTTACATTTTTGCAAAATCGATATTTAGGGACTGAGATCGATTAGTTTTATAGTGACACGTGTGACGTTCACATTCAAATGAGTAGGAAAGATGCACTCGAGATGACCTCAAGCAAGACAGCTGTAAATTTAGCCAATAGTTTGCATGAAGACATTAACAAATGGGGGTTGACCAGCAAACAGCCTGTAGTTGTTACAGACAATGCTGCAAATATGGTTTGTGCAGTGGAGATAATGCATGTCTGCTGTGTCACGTCTGTTTGCTCGAGTGAAGCTTCGCTTTTGCACTTTTTAGACAGTTTTGTTCACATCTCAAGTTTAAACTGTCTGATTTACAAGTTTGCACTTTGTGTTTAATATGACAGGAAAAAATAAAATACATGAGTATTTTGAAACACAGTTGAACCTCTTTCATTATTGTAAAGACAGATCGAATTGCAATTAATCGATTTAGAACTGTATGAATCAAAATCGAATCGATTCAGGACTTTGACGAAAATACCCAGCCCTAATAGTTACTGCTCTAAGTGGATTACTCTGTCAGCTAAAGGCATATTTCACAGTCTCTATACTCCAGTTAACAATTAATGGATAACTAAATAAGTTGATGATTATTTCCATAATTGATTAATCACGATTAATCCAACTAATTGTGTTGGCTCTAGTTTGCGCATCTTGGGTGGAATAAAAAACAACATAAACTGTAGGGCAATACAGCACCTTGAAATAAAGTTTTACCATATGTTTTAAGAAAAAGGTTAGAGCAAAGCCAGAATAGGATTGGGAGTAAAGATGCACTTATTTTATTTTTCTTTAACAGAGGTTTTCAACTCTTTTTTTTTTATCTCCTTTATACGAACAACATGTCTGAGAGGTTCAGTCTGTTTTGAAGTGAGTACTGCAGGCAGAAAAGCCAAAGGGTATGACATTAGCAGACGGCGCGCTTGCACCCCACACACTGCCCATATGTCACGCCAAATCTCATCTCATCGAGCTCTGAGAGAAGGTGCTGCTGGCGGCTAAAAGGCCACCTTCCACACCGATATCATCAGCCAGATACCCTGTGCTGACTGGAGCTAAGGGGCCACAGCTCTTCTCCTCATAACATCATGATACATTAACTGAGGGGGGCTGGGTCACGACCAAGGAAAGAAAAAAAACATGGTTGAAAACCAAAGACTTTGAAATATTTAAAAAGTCCAGAGACACAAAAGGTCAAGAAAGGTCGCAGTTGATATACTATTTCCCTTTATCATTGGTGACTTTTGCTGCCCAGGTCTGTCATTGTGACTGTTGATAACCATGAATAAGGCAGCGGTTTGTTTGGCTTACTATAATGTTCAGCTTAAGTTAGTGTAGGACTTTGGAAATAAATATTCATCAGAAGATTGAGTTAAGAAAAACGAAGATTTTAGCCACAGTTTATCCCAAATCAGTATCTGAACACAGCTACTGAGTCGGTTATTCATTGAGCACACTGCAAAAAATGGAAATCTAAGTAATTTTTTCTTAAAGTAAGTGCATTTTTTCTCTAATTGAGGTCGAAAGTGAGAGACTTTGCCAATGGAGCAAGACAATTTACATTTAAAATAAGAAAAAACAATTGTATTGTCTTATTTTAAGTTCATATTATCTAATTATCTTATTTTAAGAGTAAGGATACTAATTTCATTGGCAAATCATTGAATTTACCTACTCAAAGTAAGGGTAAATACACTTAATTTAAGACATTTTTTTACTTATTTCTAGATCTTTTTTGCAGTGCATACATCTAAAGGACCTCACAGTAACCCCTGACTTAAGTGAGCAAACATGACCTGGCATGTGCTGACATTTGGCATCATTTTTTAATGAGGTTAGTCGTGTAAAAAAATAACATTCACAGACTGCTGGCAGTCACTTTTTCTTTTTGCCCTCAGTCTGTTGTGAAAAAGAATTTGTCCCTTATAGATTTTTTTTTTTCTGTTTTCGCTCTGTTGCTGAAATGCCTCATATAATCTAACATTTTTTATGCTGCATAAAGATAACTGGACAGATACAAAATTATTACTTTATCCAATAAGTGTCCAAAAGTTGTCTAAGGCATCCTGATTCAGATATTATTCCGGATTTTTCTATGACCTCCTGATTGAATCGTCGGTTGTGCTCTTGGAGTAATTTTGATTGATGTTTTTCTCTAATGGGACAGATTACCTTTACTGTGTTTTTTTTTCTTCTAATGACTTTAACTTTCTTTTACCTGTTAACTTATTTATAATTTACTTTGTTTCCCCTTTTAAGATGTCAATTCCATTGGTTTATTGATAATTTTTTTAAAATTTGGATTCCATGTTGCTGTTTGTGATTTTTAAGCAGCCAGATATGTTCCGTTAGATTTTGTATGCAGGTCAGGTAATGATGGCCCAACTTTCTAAAAGAAAAAAAAAAAAGTAATTTAATCATATTCTAGATATGAGTCATCAAAGGGGGAACTTTTTTCCAGAAAGCCAAGTGAATGTGTATAAATTTTTCACCCTTAAAGTATAAAATCCTCACTAAGAATCTGCTCTTCGTAGATAGAAAGGTTATCATCATCCAATTCAAGTATTTGTTTTTATAATCTGTAATATTAAATTCTGACCAAATCTGCTAGAGGGCAAAGACTTTTTCACTCTAAATAACAACATATGCCTTGTGCTTCACTGACATCTAGTGGTTAAACTATGGTATTGAACATTTTCAGCAGTTAAATGTGTGCCACTGTACACTATGCCTGCACAGACTGTAAGTCTATAGAAAAAGACGTGACTGGTCCCATACGACCCATGTTTACTTTGAGAAGAAACTTGAACTGGTGTAGAAAAGACCTAAAATAGCAACAAAAACTGACAAATCTGAATAAAATCCACAATCACACAGACACAATTGATTTGAAATACATGAAAAATTATCAAACCTAAACAGGGGAAATGTATATTTGCCCGTTTACAGGGAGAACAGTTGTAATTACAGAGATATGAAGACATGTTCTGGACGTTAGAAACTGCTGAAAAGAACTGGATATTTCTTAACATGTGTGCAGAAATTTGGACCTATTTTTAGATGACTTTTTCAGTGTAGCAGTAGCAGCAAAAGATGAAATAAAGGAACCCAATCCTTCCTGAAATAAAAGTATTTTCCCTTGTTTTGGGGTAATTTGGAAATGGAATAAGATGGTTTGAGCTTAAAAATAGAAAAAAATAACAACTACGTGATCTTATTTAAAGTGCATAACATTCAGTCCATCCTATTTTAACAACAGAAACACTCAAGCAATCAGCAGATCCTTTTATTTACCTGCTCAAGTTAATGGAAAATACACCTACAGTATATTAAGAAATTTTACTTTATATACAGATATGAAATACACACAAAAAACTGAGATTTTTGCTCTTTTCAGACTTCCTAGAGTAAAAACCTTGAACCTTCCTAGAGTTTTTGTCAATTAGAACTAGACTAACTTTTGCATATAAATGAAAGATTCTGACTAAAACTAAAAAAAAAAGACCAAAAGACCTAAAAGACCAGAATAGTATCAAAAAATAAATAGTATAAAATGTTGAACCTCTAGAACTTGTAGAGACGAAAGAAGGAGAGGTGTAAAGTTTATACCAACCAGTTTGTGTCAGTCAGACCTTAAGTGGGAAAGACAACATGTCTACCATTCATGGTGCTCTGCAATTAGTGTTAGTTAATCATTGATTTTTAACCTTTTAGAAGTTAGTTTATAACATTTCATTATTTCGTATCTATTTAGCTTATACAAAGCTAATATTTTGCTTAACACAGCTAACTTTTCTGTTTAGCACAACCGGTTTTTCAACTATATTGACATTTGATTGTGCAATATTAAGGTTGTTGTCACATAAAGATAAAAGCCCTAAAATATGAGTCTAAAATTTCCCTGCAGCCATGCAAGCATGGAGAACAACTCCACTAATTGCTACCTTCTCAGATGCTCTTTAAACTCATCATGTCAGCCCCCAACATCTCTACGTTTCCAAAGAGCTCATTAAATCAAGGCTCACAGACAGAAGCTGCTGCAAACATGAGGTTTTCTCTATTCTTTTGTCACCATACCTGGCACCACTTACCTGCAGGCTAGTTGTTGAATTGTCAGGGCCCATGATAGAAAAAAACAGTTTGATATCATTGTGTCTGCATGAGGTAGAAAAACATTACCTCCCCCCTCTCCAAAAAAACAAGCACACAGCAGGTGATGCCTTCTCTCAGAGGAGACGCAATTAGCTTTCTGGGGGGCAAAACTACAGTTTGTCCCACACAGAAGACAAGCAGCACCTGTGTGTGAAGCCTTGTTGCACCCACATTCAGTGGATCATAACAAGGATAACAAATCAGTGGAGGGCCAAGATGGCTTCTCCTAAAGTGTTTGAATTTTGTTGTTTTTTTATAGAGGTGACAGAAAAAATAAAACTAGTGTCATGATAAGAATGCGGCAAAGATAATTTTAAAACATCTTAAATGGAAATGTTACATTATGAACAAAATATATATACAGGTGAGAAAGAGCAAATGTGCAGATAATAAAAAAACAAAGGTGAAAAATTTTTTGGAAAAAAAATTTGAAAGAAAAAGTATTAAATGAAAAAAAATCTAAAAAAAAAAAAAAAAAAAGAAAGAAACAAGGGAAACAAAAACAAAAGGCAAAAGACAGATAATGGAAAAAAAATAGAGCTTAGAAACTGGGAGTAATCATGAGGACAAGGAGAGCAGAGAGCCCCACCGTAAAACTCAGCAGACACAGAAATGTACACATTTTAGTCAGAAAAACGGATAGAACCACTTACTGAGGCTACAGTCTATCCTGATACAATCTGGCGGGAGAGAGAGCGAAATGGTGAGAATAGAAAAAAAAGGAAAGTAAGAGATGAAAATAAAGAAAGGAGAGAAGAGAATAAAAGAGAAAAACAAGACATTTTACATCCTTCAAGGTACATTCTGCAGACAACCAAGCATTGTTCTGAGGCCACCATCCGGGGACAGGCTCGTAGTCAGGATCACCCTCTCATAGACGTCCAGCATCATCCATCCATTAAATTAAAGCACAGGAGAAGGCAAGGCTAATACATGAACATTGATTTACAGAATGTGATGAGCTCTGTTGTCCATGTTCTAATTCCTTAACACCAAAATGAGATTACAGAAAGAATGTGGCATTTTATGCCTATTTTCCAGTAGTACCTAATATAAGCCAGATCTGGACTGATGGGATCAATTATATTTGTTTTGATTCATTTTCCGTTCCAGAGAAACAGCATCTTTGGAGGAGATTTTTAATTTCAAGCTGGCCCCAAAGTCTGAAGTCATGTGATTTGTAGTTTTTGTTAACAAGAGATGTAAGAAAATAAAATAGTGTTTACATTGGGATGCTCTATTTGTACGGAGCTCCCTAGGGGACATTTATAACTTTTTGTGAATGAAGTACACAGAGATGCTAGGCAGACGGGAGTTCTTTATGAAGTAAAATTGGATGATATTAATACTTAATAATAACAAAATTATTCAAAAAAAAAAAAGGTAAAGGTGTATTTTTCCAAACCAGCTGCTGTAGTGCGATCACCAAGAGCCCCTTGGTGTGTGTGGTGATTTTGGAGTCTCTGCACTTTATGGCAGTGGAGTTATTGATTTTTAATTGCAACGTTTTGCTGTTGTTTCACCATTTGCAGACGGTCCCTAACCACTCGCCTGGCCACTGCCTGTGCATAGAGATCAATGTATACATCCAGCTCGGAGAACGGATCGTTTTTCTCGAAAATAACGCTTTTTGATTCTTGTAATACGTAGTCTGTGCTATCAGGACATAAAAGAGGCGCCATTTGTGTTTTAACAACAAGAGTTATTGATCCCGGAAGTCCGAATCTGTGAATATCTTTCTAACTTTACCGAAGTAAGGTTTTGCGTTCTCACGCAAAAGGTTTTGCGTGGGAATGCAAAACTTTCGCAAAAGGTTTTGCGAGGTAACGCAATACTTTTGTGAGGGAATGCAAAAGAAAAAAAAATTCCCTATGTCCCCTAGGGGGCTCCGTAATTTTAGATTAAAACTATGCTTTTTAAAAACTGTTTAGTCCTACGTGACTTTCAGGACTAAACTATAAATAAGGGGTGCCTTTTTATAGTTACTTAATTAAAAAAAATAAAATAAAAAAAACATGTTTATATTAACACTATGAATCGCTAGACAGGTTAAAAATAGTAAAATATTACTTTAAGATAATATTACCTAGCCTGGACTACAGCATATGGAAAGACAGGCTAACGCTACGTAATGTTAGCTTGTAAAAATACTGCTCATTGTCACTACCCGATCCGTCCCGG